TTTATAGTTTATCTGACTCTCATCGAAGTAGTTTAGTCAATTATTTATTACCGGGTGAAAGCCATGGCCTATTGTTGGCTTGCTTAGTTCAACGAGGAAACATTTGCCCGAGCAAACATGGTGCGGAATTTGGTTGTTCACGTGGTTTGTGTGACCAAGCGTGGCTGTTGCGCCCACCAATTTCCCGTGCGACCAGGCAACGTGGCATCTGCCTTTCGCCCAAATGCCGTTTACGTCAAATGTTTGATGGGAAATCGTTGCGTTTTCACTACTGCCATTGTCAATTCCGTGCGAATCCACGTTGCCCCCACCTATTCACATTTCATTGCACTTCGCAACATCGATTGCTTGTGAGGGGTAGTAGTACGCAACAAGTGTCCTTGTTCAGTTCTTCATCCCTCTTGTTTTGATAGAATCGAACTATCCCTGAGCCTCATGCGTTGTATTGTCTTCTTCAACAAAATTCAATGAGTACTCGAAACACAATTTTCATTGGTAAGCTTTCGCTGTGGTAACAGCTTCGTCAGACCTCAAATATATAAAGCATACATAGCACTACAAATCTTTACAACAATAGAGTTGGTCGAAGTACTAACCAGACTGGAGTTCTTCTTAACAATAAAGTTGCTAAGGTCTGTAATACACTACACTCAATGCCTACAACTGATGACCACTACACCAAATACTAACGACCTACCCCAGTGACACCGCCAATGCAACTAAAAGTGACTAGGAATGCGACGCGCTGACAATTGCGAGGACATCCTTATCACGACCGCTATGCAATCAGCCTCATTGCCTCCATCAGCTCATCCCTTGTTTATTTCGGGGGATAACCGCTTGATAGCGATCGCTTCAAGTAACTTCCTTTCCAATGGGCTATCCTTCGTGCGGTGTAGAACAGTCACTTTCAGGCGGGGAGGTGGTTCTTGTTGGTGAAACATCGTACGATGCCGCGAGAATCCACTCTGGGGGTAAGAGGAGGGATTCCGTAAGGCTCGTATGTGTTCGTCCATCCTTTTGTATAAAGGTCGCATTGTTTCACCAACATATTTCTGATTGCATCCTTCGCATGTGACCAAGTAAACTGTCCCACGTAACTGGCAGATTTTATTTTCTGTACAGTATGAACAGTTACTTCGGCCACATTTCTCTTCGTAGATCGATTATAGATTATAGATTCATATTAGTTTTGGTAACAAATGAAAAGTACTTCTGAGAAATTTGACCATATTCGGCCTGGAGGAAGTATTTACACTTTTACCAGTTCCCTTTGTAACCACATGTTCGCTAGCAGGTCTCTTTTCGTCGGAGGCATATTTCCTGTGAATTGTTAGCGTGACTCTGCTCACGGGAACTCACAAGTTTCACAAGGTGGGCTGTACAAACCTAGCTGAATACCGTTTGGTGCCCCTACCTAGCCGAGTCGCGCTACAAATTCTTTTCCGTTGTTATAAATGGAATCGCTCTGTAGTATAGGTTATGTTGTACAATTTACAATGATTGATATGTCTAATCTGTCCAGAATTAGCGCATCAAACAGGGCCGCAGAGAGAATGAACACGCGCAGGTTGTTACCTACTTTGGGAGAAATTATGCTCAATCAATTCGTATGTGACCTTATTCGCTGATCTTTTAATTTCTCGATTCTCCTAAAACGCCCGACCGAGTTCATGTTAGTAAATCAGTTTGTGTGCAGTCTTTTCGTGAACTTTTCCATTTCTAAGTCCCCCCCCCACTTTATCGATATGTAACTCAGCCTTTCCATGTATTTTGCTTACCTTTAATCGAGCAAGGCATGTCTACGTTTAGGAATCCCCAGCCGGGTGGTGTTTTCCAGAAGTTTTCCCCAGCGGTAGGAAGTGTTTCTATGGAGAGGCTTCTGGTTTTGATAGTACACTTGGCGAGCGCTCTACGCTTCACTTTGGAAAGGCTGGAAACCATCTGAATTATTCCGCATTGCAGAATACTAATTCAGCTGCGTTGTGTAATTGACATTCCAAGTACAAAAAGATCAATTTTATAAAGTCTTTGGGCCAGTTCCAACATTTTTTGGGTTGATAAGAATGGTAGAAATGTCAAAAGTAAAAATCATTTCCTCAGAGGCTAGGCTAGAGGTTGGTGTAAGTATTGCGTCTTCGCGCTATGCGATTCTGTGAAAAGTGAAAGCGCGTGTATGGCCCATGGGTTTGGGAAAGTGCGTTTCGTTTTTGTGCCTTTTTTGGTGGAAACTGTTCGGTTTCGACCCTTACGTCGTTTTAAAACACCTAAACGTTCTGAACGGTCGAAACGTGGGCCTAAAAATTTTACGCTGAAAAACCTCTGCAAGAAGCACAAGAACAAAACAGTGTCGAACAAGTCCATTTCGTTTCTGTCTGCAAAATGGAAATTGGCACTGGCAGTCAATTTGAGAGAACGCAAAAACTGTATATTTCCACGTCAGCCGAAAAAAAAGCATGGCGGTGATGTAACAAACGAAAACAAGCTCGTTTTCACGAGCGATTCGTTCTAGACTGTTCGCGACTATTTTCCACGGGGCTTATTCGCCGCAAAAATCTCAATTTTTTTCCATATGACTTTTATCTTGATGATACGCTCAATGACCGGTACTTTGCCGTGGGAGACGGACAAGACAATCGTAAATTGTCGCGCGGAACATCGTGCGGTGGCGTGCGGCGAGTCTGCACCACGTGTTGTCGTTAAATCGTTTTGCTACCTTTAATTTACTGGGCGTGTCGCTGCACGTGTAAATAAATAAATAAACCCTTCTTATGCACCAGTTTGTTGATAGGTATGAACTGATATGGATTCAAGCGAAGATTGACTTTATGGCGAGCAATATTGAATTTTCCCTTCCCTTTCACATTCAGATTCAAACGACCAGGCAGGACAACGCATCTGCCGGGCGGTGTTTTACGAATGTCTTGTCATATATCCCTCCCGTTGGGTTCTTTATGCTTAATGTCCCGTTTGAGTGCTGTATTCAGATCATCTCATCATGTAGAGCCGTTGTTAAGCTGTCGTTGCCTAAACGTTACAGGGAGGATGCCTGCGTATACTCCGCTACGAGAGAATAGCGAAATTGAAAGATTTAGGAGATTATGCCGAAGAAGTGATAAGTGTAGGTTGTATCAACAGCGTTTTTGGAGATCAGCAGAACCGTTGAATAGGATTCGATCGATGCCCATCCACCCTTGTAGCGCGTATTCTCCCAGAATCCAGATCAATACATGAACTTTCCCTTGGTACGTTCTTCTTCTCCAGTTCTCTGATTGGGTTACGTGACAAGTAAAACTTGTGATGGAGGTCCTGTTGCGAAAGGCCAGAATGCAGAGGAATAGAGACTGCTTCCGCCAAGGCATCGAGACAAACAAAAAACATGTCGCGAGGCAGGAGATGACTTTTTTCAAGGGAAGAGGACACCGGGGTGGATGAGCCACTTAATATGCGTGAAAAGTTGGAATGTGAAAGGTCAAGTGGCCATAAATCGCCATGAAGGCAAGAGAGCGCAGAGAAAAACAGAAATTTGGCGCCATTGAAGGGGTTGCGTTTTAGTTGTCCGTAGGCCCTCCGATTGCCTCACTCTCCTGTCGCCAAGTATGTACGCCGCCTCACTTCTGCAGTTTTTCTACCTTACAAGGTAAGCCCTGCGACTGCGCAGTATTGAGAATCTGTGAAGAAATTAGTCAGATGTCGATTGACTTTCTAACCTCCGACTTTTCAGATTGGTAGGCATACTCTATTTCGCTGCGGAAGGTTGGGCGTGTCGCAGTATGAGTGTGTCACCCCGTCAAAGCCGTTCTCTGCCTTCTTGTTGAAGCGCGCATGCGACAAAAAGTGGTAGAAAACGAGTAATACGAACGATATGATACAGTCATATCATTTGCTCGCTTCAACAAGTGGTTGAGAACGGGCCCTGATGCATAATAAGAACGTATGCTAAGAGACAAAGTATTTTTCTGTATTGTTGAATGCCATGGGATGCGTTTTTAACCCGAAAAACCTCCTTCGTGTCCTTTTGAATGCAACGAACTGGTCTAATTATCAGGATTGGTAAGCACATGGGGAGTACCCTTCTACGGCAGCCATATTCTGCTTTGCCACAAAGTTTCCTTTTCTGCTGTAGTATTGAAGGTTTAATATCTGTCAAAGCATTTATTAGATATTGATTCAACTTCTTTTTTTTATTAGACTTCCTTTTCGTGCAATTTGTCTTTTGCTTTTTATTACATCTACTCATCTTCTCGTCGCCATACAACCGAACTTTGCTTTTTTACGGTGTTAATGTAACTTGGTCACCCGGGGACTCGTCTGTGTTTCCTTCATTTTCCAAATCTTGGTCCTGGCAGAGCGCAGACGGTTTGAGTCGTCGCTGCCTAATCGCATTGCCGTGTGGCCCCTCCAAACTGCGTTGAGGGCCCTCATTCTGCAAATATCCGTCATTCAGACGAATTTATTTGAATGCTGATGCTCGTGTACATATCGCTGCAAGAAATGGTCTTGTTTGTTGTGCACATAGGAGCATGTCTCTCCATCCGCAGTGAAAGGAGCATGTCTCTCCATCCGCAGTGAAGAAGACCATTACTGCAGTGAGTCGGAATGGGTTTGGCGTGGCGCCAAACCACTTTCCCACCAATTATTGAGGCGAGAAATCAGCAATACAGTACCATACCTTTCGCATCATTCGTTTTTCACCATTTGTTGTCGCTAACTCGCTTGAGTCGCCAGTCGCCTGACACGCCCCTTTACCCGCAGCGAACAGGGGTGTAATTACGCTGGGTATCGTTGACGTGGTGCATTTGCGTACGCGCACGCGGCTTTCAAACTGCCTTTAGCATACCGTGGAACAACTATGAACTCGCTTACGATTTACGCTTTCGTTTATTGGGCTGCTTTCATCATTCAGTCCACGTCGTTTGCTCGCGCGCACTTGAAGTGAACGTCGATTCTACCGTCATCTAATCGGTATCTATCTTTCATAGAATTGCTCGTTTTCAGAAATGGGCATAAACCGATATGTTAGCCGACGATATATTACTGTACTCAAATATCTTTTATTTGCTGGATTTGTGTATATTCTTTATGGAACTTTTTTCGCTTCTACCGCTCCTCAATCGAAGGACATTTTCATAGGTCGTGCAGCTAGTAAGTTTTGCGAGTAATTTCGTTTTTATGACCCTGATAGGTCACAAAGTACTAAATTAAGGAATAGAAGCTCCGGCTCCTCCCGTTAGAGTGTTTCCGAAGCAGTCGGATGGTGTGGATCCATTTTTGACGTATAAAAACGAGCCGAAGAAGGTGAGTTGTGTAGATGTTCCAGTACTTTTCATAATTCAACTTCAATTCAAGAAACGTAGCTACCCCCCCTCCCCTCTTGCGGTACAATAGCTGGAGCTTTCGCCCCTCTGGAATTCGCCGCGTATACTACTTCCATGAAGAATCGTGGAGGGGTCAGCGGATGCGCAAATCAATGTTTTGGTCTTTTTACATTAGTCAGTTCTGCTACCGACATACAGTTCTGGGTAGTCGACGGTTGTTTGCTGTGGGCGGGATTCATTCATTGCGTATAATCACGCGGAAGGTTAAACGGCACCTCTTTCTACTACACTGCCTCCCACCCCCACTTAATTTGAGCTAGAATCAGGCTGCATTCATACTTTCAAGTCAGCATACGGCAGCGTTTCGAGCATAGGTCAATCAACACCAGCGGCTAGAAAGGTATAGGGTATCGATCTAGCATACGCCAGCGTATGGCAGCGTTTTCGTGGCAGGCAATTTGAACTTGAGCAAAACTGCCTGCGAAAGACGCTGCTGTACGCCGATATCCTAGATCGATATCTTTAGTTTTTTAGTAGCTCGAAATGCTGCTGTATTAGAAATACGCTGGTGGACGCTCGAAACGTTAGATAGATATCCATACTTTCCTAGCCGCTCAAAACGCTGGGCGTACCCTCGGAACGCTGCCGTAAGCTGACGCAAAGTATGATCGCATCGTAATGTGCTTCCCTTTTGTATAGACCACGCATCAGGCGTTTGGCAATGTTGTGCTTTCAGAACTGGGAAAATCTTGAAGAATACGCCGCTGACCAAGGCTCGTGTTGGGCCAGGTGAGCAGGGAAAGCCAGTCACGCTTCCGCAGGACGAAAATGTCGAAAGGGAAGCTGTAAGATTTATGAAGTTTTCGACGATTTTAGTCAGATTCTCGGATGTATCTTCCAGGTGGCTTCTGTATAAAGCGAATGGTTACAATGCCTATGTCTCGGATTTGATTTCATTAAATCGATCTATGAAAGACATCCGCCATCCGCAGTGCAAGCGAATGGAGTATCACTCAAAGCTCCCCATGGTTTCTGTGATCTTTCCTATGCATGAAGAGGTTCGTTTAATGAGGTAGTGACCAGTAATAGTTAAATGTAGTCCACCAAAGCATGGGTTTTGTCATTTCCAGCACAATTCGACCCTCTTGCGTTCTGTCTACTCGATCATGAACAGGTCGCCGAAAGAACTGTTGAAGGAAATTATACTGGTGGACGATTTCAGCGAGAAGCCATTTCTGAAGAAGCCTTTGGAAGATTTTTTGAAGCATGAGAAGATTGACCATATTGTCAAAGTACTGCGGACAAAGTGAGCTTCTCCAGTTTAATGCTAAGCTACCGAATCTCCTTTTCTAAATTTTCTCCCAATTGGCCTGCAACCGGGTCGATTGGTACTCATCCATTGTTTAAGCGCGCATTTCCCGAAACCTCCCGGAGTTCGCGGTTTTACCATTCTCCTACTTGCCTAGATCATCGGATCGATTCCTATATTTTTGAGTAAATTAAGAAATCGAGTTGCTGATGTTCCTCTCTCCTTTGCTTTCTCTGTCCTTACGACTACGCGCAAAAACCCCACAAATTTTGGCAAATTACCGGATGCTCTGGGCTCGTGGCCTCGGTTACCTATTTATTAATACTACTTTGAAGTGCCATAGATAAGTCTCGTTTGTTTGGTGTGGTCGCACACGTGCTCTCTTACTTCATCCGTTCTTTTCTTCTTTTTCAGTGTGCATCACAAAATAGGGCGTCGTTCAGCTGACCGGGGGGGGGGGGGGGAAGGCAGTTTGCACTTTCACTGGATAATTTACATTCAAGTAAGACCTGTAAACTCTCGTGAAGTTGCGAAATGGTGTAAAGGGTCGCTGTTCTGTAGTTACAGTAACACAGGTCCTTCTCAAACCTCTTCTCATGCTTCTCAGAATGCCACTTGGTGCCGGTATCAATCCGAAAGCACCGAAAATAAATTAAAATCAATCCAAATTGATTTCCATCTCATTACTGCACTCAAGATAAGTTGGACTGAAACTGCTGTAAGGGTCTTTCATTCCACATGGTGCCTTTTTTCCAAACTTCCGTCGTCCGTTTCCTTGTTAGTTTTTGGAATGTCATATCCCAACTGTTTGTTTTTACGACCACACTTTCTGAGAACCGCTTCATTGAGATCACTTTTGGAAAAAGCACCACTGGTTTCACCTATGCTGACTTACACTTCATTCGTAGTTACACTCCTGGAGGTGAGGTAGGCGTGGCTGCGTACTTCTTCCTGACCTGGCGGCGCCTGCGCTTCTGGTGGGACACTTTTAATTTGGGGCACTTGTCGTCATGTCTTCCTTCAGCACATGACCGGACGGCGGTTTTTCAAATGGCAACATGCCATGATCAAACAAGTCGGAATGAAGGATCCAGACACGAATGATACTTTCCTGCTACTGTATTTCTTTTCTGTTGAGCTCTCCTCGAAAAAGAATTTTGTAAGTGCGGAGGATTGCGTGGAAAGGAAACACGGCATAAATTTGATACAGTGTTCCCATTATAACATAACAGATTCGATTGAGAAAGCTCGCTGATTCCGAGAAATAATGTCGTTGGCTAGAATTGTTTCCAGCGATGCATAATACATTGCTTTTTCCTTGATAGCACTGCGAAAACCCTTTTTATGATGCTTCGTGATGAAACGTGGGTGAAAGCGTCAATATATTCAGCGCTGATTTCCAGAAAACGAGAAGGCCTTATTCGTGCGCGTCAACTGGGTGCAGAAAAAGCGACAGGTGACATTCTTGTTTTTCTGGACTCTCACTCGGAAGCAAATTACAACTGGTTACCTCCACTAATCGATCCAATTGTTGAGGACTACAGGTTTGTTGTTCTTAGCTGTCGCTGTAGTCCTCTTTAGTTCTACTTTGTTTTCTATAATTATCAGGGTTTGAAACAGTGTGCACCATCGCAATAGAAGGGGATTCTTCAAAATTCGACCTTTTTGCTGAAAACCACTACTTCTCTCTCTCAGCTTTACTTAGTTGGTACTCCTCGTTTTCGTTTCGCTCCTACACCTGCATCATTTGTATAGATGTTTTTATTCATCACAATAATTGCTGTTTAACGCCACAGTCCGATTAGTTTTGAAGGTATCACAAATGCTGGGTTACGGGCAAAAGATGATCGTGACCCCAGATGGGACACGATCATCACGTTGAACGTGTGAATGCTGAAGCCCAAAAGCCTCCGAGCTGAAAGAGGGGAAGAGCGGCCTTGGTGGCGTAACGGATAGCGCACTCCTGCGAGAAGCGTGAGATGTAGATTTGGGTCTCACCCGCAGTCAAGTCTTTTGCCCATGAGTCAGCATTCTTCTATGTTTTGTGTTCAGAACGGTCGTATGTCCTTTTGTCGATGTGATCGATTGTGACACCTATGAAATTCGTCCTCAAGATGAA